CATGACTCCGCATACAGTTAAAGTCCTCCTCCTGTCTACTCAGGAGCAAGGGCAGATGAACCTGCGCAGGGACGGGGAAAACGTCATCAGTTGGCAAATACCATGGCTTATCATTAATTCTCCCCTTCTCCCCCTTCTTGTCACCCACAGATCACGCAAGGGTTCGGTGAGCTCGGCTTCCCCCAAGTAGTGGGTGCCGTAGACAGGTGCCACTGTCTGATCGTGCCACCCTTGGGGAGGAGGAATAAGTTCGTCAACCGAAAGGACACTTACTCTGTCATCCTCCAAGGGACCATGGATCATTGAGGACGCTTTGTGGATGTGGAAGTGGGCTGGCCTGGATCGACTCACGATGCAAGGGTGGCGAGGAATTCCATCATCTTTCAGGCCATGGAGGCCAGCATCTATGTGCCAGGGAACCCCACCGTCACCCTGAGGGGTCAGCAGATCGGCCCCCTCCTGCTCGACGACAGCGCCTACCCCATTCGGAAGTAGCTGATGAAGCCCTACCAGGGCACCCTTAATGCCAGGCAGAATGGATTCAACAGGAGGCTGAATCGCGCCAGGAATGTGGTGGAAAGGGCCTTCAGGCGGCTGAAGGCTCGGTGGAGGTGCCTCACTGCCCCACTCCTTGTCGCAGAGGAGAATGTCGTCCCCATCATCGCCTTTTGTGTCATCCTCCACAACATCTGCGAGACCAAGGGAAGGGTCCTGGATGAGGGAAGGCGCTACAAGCGCCGCTTTGTGCTGCCCACCCTGGGGGCACCCATGGAGCACAATGATCTCGTGAAACAGAGAGAAGGGGAGGCTATGAGGGAGGCCCTGGCAGAGTTCTTTGACAGGAGGATCTAAAATCATCCTCTCTTCTCCATCTGTAACCCAAGGTCAGCACTGCACTGTGCCATGAGCCTAAAAGCACCTCAACAGCGCCTTGCCTATGATCCCCACCCTGTCTGTGGCTTGCATAAATGTAGGACACCACTGCACTGTGCCATGATGTACTGGTATCCCCACCCTGTGTGTAGCTTGCATTTTTGTGGGACACCACTCATGCCATAATGAGATCCTGTGATTCCCACTCTGCATATGGATGGCAATCCTGCTTTCATGTAGTTATCCTTGAACATGAGCCTAAGGGAGGCACAAACAGACACACACACGAAAGGGCATGGAGGGGTCACCTGGAGCCAGATTTCCTGGCAGTAGGATACAGTGCACAAACCACCAACTGAAACCTCTGACAATGTTGCCAAATACCCAACAGTCAGCTTTCCTAATGGCCCGTTCGATTGTATCAATTGGTAGCCCAGAGGGCAACCACTGGGGATCACATTCCAACTTCCCACATGAGGGTCTCCATTGGTCAGGGCCTAGGTTAAGGCCATCTGCCCCCGCAACATTCGCTCATAAATGCTCCTGCGGACCTCCGTCCATCCCCAGGACGACGATGGTGGCCAGCAAGAGAATGCCCATCCGCATCGCTTATTGGACTAATGAGGAGGTGGGCATTCTCCTCCAAGCCCTGAACCCGGAGCCGGCTGCTAGGAGGGTGATGGCCAGCTCCAACAGGCCAAACCGGTTTTCCCAGGCCTCCCGGGCCCTCAGGGACCAGGGCTTCACGAGGACCCCCCAACAATGCCTCACAAAATTTAAGGCACTGAAGGGGGTCTTCTTCGAGGCTCTGGAGGACTATGGGGAGCATCCTCCGGTTCAGCATCGCCCACCCTTCTACCAGCAGCTCCGGGAGCTGTGGATCAGGGCCGGACGCCCTCGATGGCAGGATCGCCGCCCCCCTGGTAACTGTTGGGCCCTTGCCCTGGTCCCTCATGCCCTCCCTTCCCCCTCACTCTTCCCTATCCCTTCCCTCTCTCTTGTCCCCATCCCATGGGTTCTAATGGTGTTTCCCTTCTCTCCCAATGCAGGCATGCGGTGGAGGCGGCGACAGGGACGGAGGGGGGAACCTGCCAGCTCCCCCTCCTCTTCCTCGGACGGAGAAGCTGGGCCAGCCATCCCTCTGCAGGCACAGCAGCCTCCCATGGCTGAAGGTAGGCCCCTGAGGGGAGGGGTACTGGCTGCATAACTGCGGCCTCCATGGCATTCCTATCCCTCCCCTCCCCCACCACTTTCCAAGCTGGCTTCCTAAACGGTCTTTTTTCCTTTCACAGGCATACCTGTTGAGGAGTTGCCAGGCCCGAGTCGCCGGCTGCCAGGTGGAGGACACCTGGGTCCCATTGTCAGAATTGGACTGGACAGAGAACTAGCTTCTGTAAAGAAAAAAGTATGGGTAAACTAATGGGGACACTGATGAAGGGCAATACCCCAGAGGTGCCACCGCATTGGCATGCCAGATGGTGCTGGACAGTGCTATGGCAGAACATGAAAATGGAGCTAGAGAAGACTCATTATTCAGGCACGTGCCTTGTTTCTGAATGAAACATTACTAAGCCACCTCCATCTCCATTCCCTTGATTATAAGGTATGAGGCTCGTGAAATTCACCGCATCTCAGTACTACTTTAAAAACGGGTAGCGGAGCAGATGTTTGACCAAAGAGGTTGGGATGACCAAGTCAAGCTTGCTGTTACCTTTATTGAACAAGTGGGAGTTAATGGCTTCCAAGTCAGTGGGTGCTGGAGCTATCCAAGGTGCTGAAATCTGTTCCCAGGCCTCCAGTTGTAGTCCAATACTCAAGCCACTATGTTACACTGGTTGGCATTTGCCTGAACTGAGTTAGGCTAGATCTAGATCCCTCATATGTCAGATGAAATGTAAATAAATAAATAAATATTAGGATGATGCCCAGTGTGTACTACAGATATGTAAAAATTTACGTTGCCAACAAACCCACTTTCATTTTCTAACCATCCTTTTTCATGTTGAGTCATGAAACTCTTTGCTTTCCTTCAACATTGAAATGTGTTCACCTAACCCTCTTTTAATATGCACATCTCATTTACACATTTCCCCTAATTTATACATTGAAATGTATTTTTACCTCCCCCTCCCCAAATAATGCCTATTTCAACTGTTCACATTTCATGATAGGAGCAGCATTTTCTGCATACTTTTGCAAATGGGTGATTAAGTTTTTCTTCTTGAACAAAATACTTTTCCATCTGCAGTTTGTGTTTTCCAAGGTATCGGCCATGAGCTTGACTCTAGGATTCTTGCCTGGTATGGTATTCAGATGCCTAGAAAACACCATAGTATACAAGACATATTATTTGTGTTTAGCCATTTTCTTTTTATTTTGCAGGTTATTTTTCTTGTTATTCTATTACTGCATTACTTGTTTGCAACAGCTCTACTTGCAAAGTATTTCTTTTTCTGGAATAGGAGGTTTTCACATTTGTCCTTAAAATTTTATGTGTATTCCCTGCAATTTTAAGAAAACATTGACGTTGAAGTGGATGTAATCTGGAAATCCTGAATATGAATATTGTTAATTGTTACCATTATTGGCCAATTCGTGTTATTACTTATCATGTTCTTTAGATTATTCCTGTTTTCTATCCTTATGTTATTGGCTGCATGTACACTGCAAAATTAATGCAGTTTGATACCACTTTACCTGTCAAGGCTCCATGCTAGGGAATTCTGGGATTTGTAATTTGATAGCTATTATTATCTGTCAAGACTGCTCTGGAGCCATAACAAACTACAAATTCCAGGATTCCATAGGATAGAGCTGCGGCAGTTAAAGCGAAGTCAAACTGCATTATTTCTGTAGTGTGGAAGCAGCCATTGACATTACTTTGTATATCGTTATTTCTGTTACTTATATATTAGAAGCCAAGAGAGTGTAGTGGTTTGAATGCTGGATTTTGACTCTTAAGAGAACAGGTTTCGAATCCCTGCTCAGCCATAAAACCCACTGAGTGACCTTGGCAAGTCACACTTTCTCAGCCACAGAGGGTAGCAGTGCCAAGTCTCCTATGGATAAATCTTGTCAAGAAAACCCCACGAAAGTTTCACCAGAAGCCAGAAATTATTTGAATGTACACACCAACAAATATTATTATATGCTATTTACACACATACCTTCCCCCCCCTTTTTTTTTTTTGGTGCCTTTGGAAAAATCTCACAGCCAAGTCTTCCTTAGAATCCATGACACTTCCCCAACATGATACAGCTCTCTTGGGAAGGACAGAAAAACCCTAAAACACTTCATCTTGTTCTTGTTTTTAGTAGTGTGCATCTTTCAGAAGGTCATTGGCCAATATAATGATTTTATTGCATCAGATTTTACATACCAAAAGAGATGATTTTTTTTTTTGCCTCCCTCTGACTCTTCTCTGTGTTTTTTGGGTCCAAAGGAAAATGGCTCCAACCTTTAGCCAAGTAAGTGCCATCTTCAGTATCAGACCCTTATTCCAGTTTTTCAAAGTATCTGTTTATGAGATGCTTGGGGGCTTTTTATGTAGTTTTTCCTGGTCATTTTTATTATGAGCACAGAACATAACTGGGTCAAAAGAGACAGGAAAATAAGAGACTATGGAAATCTGCTTTAGAGGATTATCTCATGGACTGTAGCTGCTATTTTGGCCGCGATGCTTTTGCATGACTTTTGCTCCTTTTCAGTTACAAAGCAAGACCATGTAAGCCGGAAATTGAAATCATGCTGCTGTCCAGATGTTGCGGGCCCAAAGTTCCAGCATTCCTCACCATCAGTTAGGCCAGCTAGGGCTGCTGGGAATTGCAGTCAAACAACCTCTTCTGGAGAACTGCATAATTCCAGCCTGACATAAGTGGCTAGAAATCAGGTAGTTTTTTGGACAGGCACTTTCCTGTTCTTTTTCAAATTATTTACTGGAATTTTGGAAACAGAGTTCTTCTGTAGGGCATTTTGTTTCCAGTGTGACAATTTTCATCCAACAAAGCAACAGTTAAACGTGAAAGAGAAAACTTAGTTGCTGTTGTAAGCCATCAAGTTATTCCCAACTTATGGTGACCCTAAGGCAAAATTAAGTGGCTTGCCCAAGGACACCCAGTGGGTTTTATGGCCAAGCTGGGATTTGAACCCTGGCTTCCAAAGTCAAGAGTCCAATGCCCAAACCACTACGCCACAAAACAATTACGGCTAAACCTGGATAGTCATACTAAATCAGGGTGGAGGACTGCAAGAGAACCAAGAACCAGTTACAGGAGAGTAGATATCATAGAATCCTAGAGTTGGAAGAGATCTCAAGGGCCATCCAGCCCAACCTCTCTGCCATGCAGAAGACACAGAAACCTAAAGTTGGAAGGGAACCCAGGGGTCATCCCAGTTCAACCCCCCTGCCATGAAAGAACACACAAAGCATCTTGACAGATGGCCATCCCATCCTCTGCTTGAGAGCCTCCAAAGACAGAGACTCCACCAGTCTCCCAAAGCAGCGTCTTCCACTGTCAAACAGCTCTTACCATCAGGATGTTCTTACTAATATTTTTGTGGAATCTCTTTTCCTGTAAGAAAACAAATTTGCTCCATTTTGACTGAACATTAAAAAGAAACTTCTTGACAGTAAGAGACGTTCATCAAGGGAGTCAATTAACTAGAGAGGTGGTGGTGGTCGCCTTCTCTGGATACCTCCAAAAGGAGTCTGGACAGCTCCTTGCTGGGGATGCTTTTGCTCAGTGATTCCCAATGTGGATCGAATTGCTCCCTTGGGGAAGTGGAAGGATCCAGTCAAAGTACTGGCATGCAAGAAAGACAAGGAGAAAGAGCAACCTTAGGACCACAGTGAAGAGGAGTTTAGAGCACATGGTGGGAGAAGCTGCGACAAAAAGGACCTTTCACATTTGGGACCCTGCTTAAGCTTTGGGAGTTTTGCCAGGACTTGGCTGGTAGATAGTTGCTGCATTGCTGTTCCTGCTTTCTTTGGTCTGACAAGCGGACAGATGAAATAACAGAAGAAACAATGGTTGTGTATATGTGCAGCAATGACTTGAAGCTATGGGGGGTAAGGAGTATCTCTGGGAAGAATGGGAAGGAGGATCTGGGGTCATTCTTCAAAAGAATCCTTTCCCTCTCTGAAATTGAGAGTCCTTCTATGCCCAGCAGAAAAGTAGGAAGGTGGCACCCTCTAGCTGACTCATAGAAATTCTTCTCAAATAGACTTGAAAAAAAGAGAGAGATCCCCAGGAAGCAAATTAAACACAGTAAGGAGAAAATGACAAAACACTGAGATGGAAACTGCAAGAAACATGGATGTTGCACCACCTTGTGGTGAAATGGCTGAAGAGTTTCATGAAAAGTTTGCAACTGCTCACATATCTGCTTTAAAGATGGCTTCCTCACTCTTAACTGTCCTGATTCGGCAGTGACACCCTGCTTAATCCCCTGCCATCCCACTTTTTCAGCTGCTATTAAAATGTCCCAGTTTCTCTCTCTCCTCCTATTCTGTCCTCAGCGTACCTCAGATTCTGCAAACTTGAGTTCAATGGACAAAACTACTTTGCACTCATTTAACTCAGTAAAGAGGAGAGAAGGGGACAGAGGGGGGAAGCATCTTCAGGGCAAGGAAGGGGAGGGGCAGCTGCACGCTGGGCGCCCCAACCCCTTCCCGAAGACATTGTTAGAGTGCCAGACCTTCCGCACGTCCAGCGCTCCAAGGATGCCTATCTGCCGCAGCGTCCACACACGCTGCAGCGGAAAAGGCGCCAAAGGTGTACCAGCAGCCTTTTGCAGCGCACCTTCGGCAATTTGCAGAAGGAGCGCTATTTTAGCGCTCCTTCCTGGGGCGGCGAAGCTGCGCCGCAGGGCCGAGGAACGCGGATGCCTTGGCCCCGATCCGCAGCTTCCCGGGGCGGCCCCATGCCACCTGTCTGCTTAGACCCAGAATCTTACCCAGTTGTTGTGTGCCTTCGTCATTTCTGATTTACGACCACCCTGAGGGCATTTTCTTGGCAGGTGTGTCTGAGAGAGTGCAACTTGTCCAAGGTGACCCACTGGGTTTCCATGGCCAAGCTGGGATTCAAACCTAGTCTCTAGAGTCATAGTCCAACACTGAAACCACTACACCACACTGGCTCTTCCCTTCCCACTAGGGTTAGGCAAAAGCAAATTGCTGCAGCCTCTTCTAATTTGTCTATTCTTCCCCATTAATTACTTTTGTCATCCTGATCAATGTTGCTTTGCCATGTCTCTTCCAGTGTTCATGCAAAAAGCTGGAGAGTATGGATTTACTGCTGAGAAGTCATGAATGGATTTGGGTTGTAAGCTGCTTACATGTTGCATTTTTTTAATAAGGAAGTAAGTCCTCCAATATTAAAGTGATTCAATACTAAGACTTATGAATTGCACTGGCTGCCAATATGTTTTCAGTCTGAGTTGAAAGTGCTTGTGATGGCATTTAAAAGTCTAAATGGCTCGGGATCTCAATACTGGAAGGAGCATCTCTTCCCATATGTGACTGCCTGAGGATTAACTTCTGCTGTGGGAGGGGTCCTTCATGCCACACCAGAGAGGTCCAAACACTGTGTTGGCATATGGGACAGAGCCTTCTCAGACATGTCACCCCAACTGTGGAATGCTCTTTTCCTGGAGGTCCAACTGGCACCAACACTCATGGAATCAGAATTTGAAGAGACCCTAAGGGCCATCCAGTCCAACCCCTGCCATGCAGGAAGACACCATCAAAATACACCCAGCAGATGGCCATCCAGACTGTTTAAAAATCTCAAAAAAAAAAAAAAAAAAAAAAAAAAAAAAAAAAAAAAAGGAGAATCCACCACAGTCTGAGAGAATGTCAAACAGCTCTTACTGTCAGGAAGTTCCTCCCAATGTTTAGATGGAATCTCTTTTCCTGTAGCTTGCATCCATTGTTCTGGGTCCTTGTCTGTGGAGCAGCAGAAAACAAACTTGCTCCATCATCAACAGAACATCGCTTCAGGCATTTAAACAGGACTATCATGTCACTTCTTAACTTTCTTTCTCTAGGCTAAATATACTCAGCTCCCTGTCACTCCTCATTGGGCTTGGTGGTTTCCAGACTCAATGTTATTTAGCTGCCAAGTTAAAACTTGGTTGTTCACCAAAGCTTTTGGGCCCGATTCATTAAACCCAAAGACTGTTATATAATATATATGGCTTCATTTTTTTTTTAAATGAAGTTATGTCTTTTAAACTTATTTGTACTTACTTTAAAATATGCTAAAGAAGTTTGTGGGAGCAGCGAGACAGAAGCCTCTGGTCTGGAAAATTTGTTGCTTCTAACTCCATGGAGATACAAATTTGGAAACTCAAAAGATTATACTTTCTATTCTTACCCACACTGTTCGCTTCTTCAAATCAGTATGTTCCTTATCCCAATATAGTTGTTCAAAGAAGTTAAATAATATTAAAAAAAAAATTCAGATCATAACCCCATCACAATGCAATAGCAACAACCAATAAAGGAATTCTCACTGAAGTTAAATACATACCTGTTAAAAGATGAAACAGTGCAAAGGATTCCCCTGCATCCGGGCAGCCTACCATGGCTGATTTGTATAACCTCTTACAGAGGGCGGTTGTTCCGAGTGGCGCAATGGAGCAAGTTGGTGGCGCGCACAAAGAGGTGATCAAGCGGCTGCTGCCTCCGCTATCTTTGACACTCAAGCTGTTGCGGGGCCGCATCTCAGGGGACCTTCAAGGTAAAATGCTGATACGGCTCAAGCCTCAAGTTCAGGTGTGTCTCCTGGTACTGTGCAATCTAATTGGCTTACCTTGGTATTGGCTCCAGGTAGCCCAGTGGGACAGGGGGTGGCTCCGGAGCAGCCTAACCCTGCAGCTTTGAATGCGTCCATTCAGGCCCTAGCTGTGGCACAGGCGCCTGACACGAGGGCGCAGAGTGTTCAGCCCTCTGCTGTTGTTAGCTTCACACCTGTTGTGCAAATTGCTGGTACACAATTACCTGGAGCAGTTGGCAGCATGGAGCCTACTCCTTACGCTGGGATGTCGACACCCCTTGGTTCTCACCTTTCCTCTTGCCACTAAAGAAAGGATTTGGAAGGGTGAATACATTGATTTATTTACTTGAACGTTTAGGGATCCTGAATCAAGGATCATGGTAAGGATGGTGTTGTTTTCAGTCTGCCAAAGGAGTTTCAAGTGCTCAAACGCCCTAAGCTGGAGCGTAATTTTGTGAATTGGATCATGGGCTTCACTATTTACAGAGGTGTGATTGAGGAAAAACAGCCTCTTAGATCCCCCGACTTTTCTAAATATCAGGAGATCATAATAAAAGCATACACCAATTGCCTATATAATTCTAGGGGTGCTGCTTGGCTCCAATATGATGAGCAGTTTAGAATGCGAGCAGCTCAAGATCCCTCTTTATCTTGGAGACTTGTGCAGTCTGAGCTCTGGGCCGATGTCATGGTGGAGGCCTCCCCCTCGGGCAGGTGTTACAATGGTTTTGTACCAATGGTCACCTTGCCGAGAGTGCCAAATGCGAGGCCTAACACAGGTGATAAAAGACAATGTGGTTTGTGTTGGGACTTTAACGCTGGAAAATGCAAAAGACAACCCTCCAGGTTCGAACACAAGTGTAACACCTGTGGGGGTAGACACCTAGGGAATTCTTGTATTAAAGGAAAGAGAACAGGAGGTGGAGCTGTTTCCCAGCCGGCGCCTCCTGGAGCAAAAGGCCCCATCGCCAATTAATCTGGCTAATATGGAACCTTGGTTAAAAAAAATATCCCAAGAAGGAGGCTGTTTTATATTTATTTCAAGGGTTTTCTTCAGGTTTTCACATTCCTTATACTGGTTCTAGGGTTTATCGTTCTGCGCCTAATGCTTGTTCTGTGACAGAATTACTAGATGTTATTAGGGTGAAATTAGCTAAAGAAATTGCAGCAGGGAGAATTTCTGGACCTCATGATAACTTGCCTATTCCTATGCTTTGTTCATCATCGCTAGGACTAGATCCTATAAAAGCCCCTGGGAATTTAGGCTAATTCATAACTTATCATACCCCAAAGGAGAATAGGTGAAAAACGCCATTGACCCAGGGCTTACCTCAGTTAAATATACATCTTTTGATGCAACAGTTACGATAAGGAATTTGGGTAATGTAACATTAAGTCCGCCTTCAGACTTCTCCCTGTACACCTGGATGATTTTGATCTGCTGGGTTTTCAGTTTGATGGGAAATTCTATTTTGACAAAGCAATGCCAATGAGGTGTTCAATTTCTTGTGCTGCGTTTGAGACATTCAGCACTTTCCTCCATTGTTGTGCTGCTAAGAGAACTGGTAATAAAGCTATTGCTCATTAACTTGATGATTTTTTATTAGCAGGTTCTTCTGATTCCTCTCAATGCTGTAATACTCTAGTACAATTTCAAGAATTGATGCAGGAAACTTCTAGAATCCACTGCAATGGAATTATGGGTATTTTTTTCCCTTTAGAGTTGGGAGGGTTAGAGCAGATAGGGGCTCCCCCAGAGGAAGGGCCTTTGCATCCTTCCTTAGTTTTTTGGAGCCGGCTATGGAGAAACTTCTAGAATGCACTGCAATGGAATTATGGGTAATTTTTTCCCCTTTAGAGTTGGGGGGTAAGAGCAGATAGGGGATCCCCCAGAGCAAGGGCCTTTGCACCCTTCCTTTGTTTTTTGGAGCTGGCTATGGAGAAACCTCCAGGCCACACTGCTATGGAATTGTGGGAAAATAATTTCCTGAGAGCAAGGGATCTGTATAAATACAGATCTGTGTTCCCAAAATAAAAGCGCCTCTTTATGCTACCTACATTGTTGTGCGGCAGCAATGGATTCACTTCTAGGCCACCCCACTATGGAATTGTGGGGGAAAAAATTCTTTAGGAAAACTGGTATTTGAGGGCCAAGCTGTCACATTACATGTATGTTTTATGTTTGGGTGGCTTGCTGGTAGCAGTACATGTAAGATCAAGAAAAAACCCCTCCAGAAGCCTTCTCCCACATCTGTCGGTGGAAACCACTTCTGCATTACCAGCGCATGTAGCCATATATATATAATATTCACAGATAGGTTGATTTGGATAATACATGGTTTCCCATTTTGATATTGCTGATGTAAGCTATTCCTTTCTCCCTTTTTTTCCCTTAGTTCCGCTGGCAATCTCGGAGGAGGGAAACGTGATCCTCCACCTGGTTCCCGTGGGGTAGCCAGTGGAACAGCCAGAATACATGGAACCGCAGGATCTTCCGTCATCCCCTGCTGCCAGTGACGGTAGGATTTTCTCAGATGGTGGGAAGCACAGGAAGGGAAATGCTGCGCTGTAACAGCTCTGTAAGTAGGCCACCCAATGCTAACCCAGTGGCTTGGCTATTTTTATTTTTTTTTCTCCAGAAACAATAATCAGTCGAGAAGGGCCCCTGATGGAGGCCACACAGCCGCCAGTGGAAGAGACCCAGGCCACCGGTCCTAGTGAATCCCGACACAAAGCAGCTGTCAGGAGGGGTAATTTTATCTTACACTTTATCTGGAATGAGTAGGATCGGTCCCTGTGGTAACCCAGAAAAAAAAATACAGAAAAAAAATTCTAGATGTATGTATGTATGTGTATATATGTATGTATATATATAGTTAATTTAATATACATGTGTAGGTATGTGTGTGTGTGGATGCACATGCACATACATACAAAAGTGCATATATATGTGCATGCTTATATTACACACAGGTACACACACACACACATATATATGTTCTCAGGGAGTGAATCTGTGGTTTTATTGCAAGGAATCTCTAGAGTTTAAGAACGGAAGATGTATTTAAGTGCCAGAAATTGCGAGCATGCTTACATAACGTTGCCTATACATTTTGGATGGAGAATAATGACATTTCTTTTGGTTTCCTGCAGCACCAGTACGTACGGTTGTCCGCCGGGTGAGGACCAATGAGGACATCCCGGACAGGAGAGCCAGGAGGGGGGAACTCATTGCCTGCAACATCATAGAGGACTCCAGGAGGGAGGGCCACCTCAACCGCGCGCTAGCAAGGCGCCAGCACCGGTCTCTCATTCGGACCATTGGAAGAGATGCCGGTGGCCTGGATAGCCTTGTGTGGT